TTAAATAAAAGCAAGGTTTTTTCCTCCATTGTTGAGAATTTAGGGTCACATACGATGGATGTTTCTAAAGCTCTAGGAAGTTAGATTTTTTTATTTCGTTAAATTTTCATCAATATTACAATATAATCCCCATTTAAATTAGTATACTTATTCCAACAAAAACCTGAGTTTCAATTTTTGCCCTCAGAGAACATATTTTGTGTCTCCTCAATCCACATATCTATGGCTTGATTAAACTCTCAAATCGAACACATCGCAAAGGCTTATTCAAATGTGGAAACAGAAATATAGAAAAAGAATACTCGTCGCAGACGGTGAACAATTTCTGAAGTTTTCATACCCCCTTCCCTGAAAAAGTAAATGACTAGTTTTAGCATCTTTAATAGTTCTATAAGCTCTAGTTCTAATCGTGCTACGAAAATGCGCCTGGCGTCAGTCAAATAACTGAATCGAACTAAGCAATATTGCACGGAATTGCTGCATAAACATGTCAAGACTTTTCTGAGGCCAATAGTGTTGCGTGTAATTGAACTCAGAAATTGAACTAATTTCCTAGACCTTTGGACACACCATACGTATTTAAAAAGTATTCGTCGAGAGATTGATTCGCCATTCATCACGTTCTTACTAAGCAAGATATAATAAAAATGGCACATGATATCGTAAGAATGGTATCGAATGTATTTTAAAGAGTAGGGTGTTCAGAATTTTTTATTATTGTTATTACCTGCTGTTCTTGTTTTCCTAATAAACGTAGTAAACGAGTCCTGAAGACTATGTAAACGTATTTATATTTATTCATTTGTTGAATTCAACAACAGTTGAAGTTTTCTGCTGATGAAAAGTCACGAAATATTTATCAAATTATTGAATTATTATGACGAAGTCTCATATTCACTTGAAGTACAATTTCTGTTTTAATTTTCATAATTAAAGAAACGGATTGCGATAAATTCTTTTATTCTAAATATTTCCTTCTCCCTTTACATTCAAAAACTTTAAATTTGATATTTTATTCGAAATTTCTAAAGCAAAGTGTCTATACTTCTTTTTTCCTTCATCTGATTTAACTCTTACATTCAACGAAAAGGTCAAAAGTTCATTTCTTTGTTAAAAATCACCATCACGACGAAATTCTCTAGCCATGAAGCGTTTTTTGCTAGACCTGAATTAAAGTTTGAGCTCCTAATTAGCAGTGAATTATTGTCGCATTCAATAATGAGCATTATTAATCAAGTTTTTGTCTCCTGGCATGAGGAAAAATTTAGGGAGGTCCCTTTCTTTTAACGAGTTATTTTCAAATCAAAATTAATTCGTTTAAATCTTTAGATTAATTAATTTTTAAAACAAATAAAACATTTATTAACACCGATGAAATCTCTCACATATACAGGGCATTTTAATAGTGCACAAAAAAATTATGTAAAGAAGTATTTCCGTCAATTACAAATGTTTGTTCCTTATTTTGACATCCCAAGAAATGTTTAAGTGATCTAAGAAACGAAATTTGCTATAGTTATCCCATTTTCATCAGTTAAGAGAGACAAATTTCATAGTTTTGCTAAGCAACTTCAAATGTATAAACGTAATTTTTAGAAAATGAAAAATATTTTTACATACTTAAAAACACGGAGATTTCCTGTTTAACAATGTCGAGTTTGATTTGATTTTGCAACACTGGTATTTTATCACCATCAGTTGATTTCGAAGCTTAATTGCAGCAGCGGAATAAGCTGTTAGTTGATACAGTGTTAAGAAATTTCGTGCAATATTTGGTAGTGAAAGTGTTCGTAATGAAATAGTAGTTCGCGGATTGATAAAGACATTTGATCACCAGGTTGGACAGCAGGTATTATGTCACCACGCTGCCGATCTAGACGATCTGTTTAAAATGTCGCTATTATGACAGAATTCACAAAGTCACAAGAAGTCACAAAAATTCCGAACTTAGAACCCTAAAAGAACTAACGATGAGAAACTTCTAATAATAAAAAGAAAATATAATCCACACTCTCGGTAGGCCACTATCCTACCTCTATCGAACTAGGATACTTGATCAAGCGATGATCGTTTTTTTTTCAAAAAAACACAAGAAAAACACAATTGCCGAACTTGAAATCGTCGAAAACTCCAAGCCTTAAATAGCCCTTTGAAGTGGCGCCACAGGCGCACGTGATGTACGTGATAAAATCAGAAAATACCAAAAAGTTTTTAAAAATTATATGACGTTACATTTAAAAATAAATATAATGCAACTTTAGTGAAGGTACAAAAAGATATGCTAGGTCAAGGAAAACTTTGCTTATCGTGTAAAGCATGGGTCCTCAAGCTTTTTCTTGTATTAAAACCTTTTAAAAGAACTTTAGAAGAAGCTTTTTTTCATAGAACTTCTTACACTTTTCTTTATCATATATAGCATGCAGCATAATCAAAATACAAATAATTGTATGTAAAGAACATAAAATAAATTTTGCACAAAATTAAGAAAAATAGTTTATTGGATTTATGTTTTATTATTTGTTGCATTATTTTTATTTTTAATTTTACAAATACAAACAAGTTTCCAGAAACAAAATCACAGACTTTCACTTGAATTTCAGTTTTAGTTTCACAAAGATTAATTAATGCGATGTGTGTATTCATGTAATTTTTCTAACATTTGACGTAAAACTGCTTAATACTTAAATCACCTCCATCAGAAATATTCAACCTGTTTCTTGTTTCCCATAGTAAATTACTGACTTGACTCAAGCCCACTTATACTAGGTAAGAAGAGGGAAAAAGCAATGTTGGTTTGACAATAAACTTTTATTTTCGGATATTCCTCTTGTATGACTTTTAAGATCTAAAATTCAGCATATATGTGCATGTCTGGAATCAATGAGATCTTGACTATGCTGATTAATTGCCACTGCATATTCGGTTACCAATATCTAGACCATCTGGCCCCTATAAAATTTCTACGACCCCCATTTGGAACCCTTGATATAATGATATAATTGCAAAAAGCACTGTTAGCTAAGAAAGCGGGGGAAAAAAAGAAGAAATTTTTAAACTGCAACTTTTCGTAGAAACATATTTTAAAAATGTAACAGCCTAAAAAGAAGCAATATACACTCATGTCCATAAATTAAGGATAATGCAAAATCAGGCAAAGGAAGAGTTAGAAGCAAAACAAATTTTACTTATTTGTAAAGCTTATTTATTAAACAAAAGGTAAAGAGCAAACAAAGGTGCTATATGTTTGATATTATTAAAAAAAAATTAGCGATTTTTTCCCCCTGGAGCAAATTTAAAAAAAACCTATTTACAAAAAAAACAATATTACATGGTTGATATGATTGTTAATACATTGTATGTCTCCCAGACGATGCAATACAGTCCGTACAACGCCTAGGCATGCTGTGTATCAAATTATCAATCTGATCTTGGGACATATAACACCACTCAAAACGCAATGCTCTCCTAAGTTCCGGTAGACATTTAGGAGGAGGTTGACGGGCTGCAACTCGTCGGCCAAGCATGTCTCACACATGCTCTACTGGGTTCAAGTCCGGTGAGAGTGCTGGCCAGTCCATACTGGTGATATCCCCCGATTGAAGGCATTCGCTTACTATGTTTGCGCTTACTATTGAAGGCATTCGCTTACTATAATTTCCGGGTGAGGAAGTGCGTTGTCATCCATAAACACAAATTGTGCGCCCATGGCGCCCCAAAACAAACGTACATGTTGTTCCAGAATGACGTCCCGATAGATTTGGCTTGTCATGGTTCCAATTTGAACATGCAGGTCAGTTCTGGAACCCAGAATAATTTCACCCCAAACGAGCACTCCTGCACCACTGTAACGGTGTCGTTCAATGATGTTTTCTTGGTAGTAATGGGTACCTGGAACTCTCCATATGAAAGTCCGGCGAGAATCAAACTGCAAGCTAAACCTGGACTCGTCGGAAAACATCAGACAAGCCCACTGTTGCGGTGCCCACAATGCATGCTCTCTACTCCAGGCTAACCTCAGGCGACAGTGAGTTGCAGTAAGTGGAACGCATCTATCAAGTCTTCGAGCATATAGACCAATCTGACCTAAGAGTCTGTACACGGTCTGCCTTGAAATTGTCGTACCAGTGGCTGAAGAGAGCTGATGAGACAGGTCTGAGGCTGTGCTCCGCCTGTTTCTTTTGTCAGTAACTGCCAAATACAGGTCCTCATTCGGCGTTGTAACTCTGGGGCGACCTGTGCTGTAAAGTCTACTCACATTACCATCATCTTGGAATCGTTGCCAAAACCTGGAGATGACACTCTGGGCAATTCCAAGTTCGTCTGATACTTCCAATTGGGTACGCCCACATTCCAGACGGCCGATAATTCTACCACGTAAAAAATCATCCAAATGCGTCCTTTGTGTCATAACTATTCGGTTATTGCACTGAAATGCTTACAAAGCGCCTGCGAACAATTTTACTTCTTTGCCTGTATTCCTCGTATATCATTCTCTTACACTCTCGTCATTGTGACGTACCATCGGTGTCATCTGGTTACTTCCTGAAATTTGCATATGATTCTTGAAGATGTGTGTAGTGATTTTACAGTCGATATATTTATTTTAGAGTTCGATTTCCGGGTGACTCCGAATTATCATCAATTTATGGACATGAGTGTATTTGAATATTGCTGCAGTTTGAAGTAATAAAAAGAAAGCTGAAGCAGTTACTAATACAAATCAGAAACTTATATTCGGAGAATTTAAACTTTTGTGGCAGTTTGATGCTAAACTGATTCAGTATCTAGAACAGATTTTTGACATTTTTTGTAGCAGCTTGGTGCAGCGTTCATAACAGTGTGCATAATGAACGCAACTTCTCAAGTTCAAAATATATTATTATATGAATAAAGAAAAAAAATTTAAACGCCATGTCTGGTCTAATAACCATGTATTCAAACAGCATATTTACCAACATGGCTAAATAATTCAATGCATTTTTATTAAAAAATTCGTCTCATAAAACTGAAAACTTACATAATATTTCAAAATGGCTTTAATCAGAGAATAAGATTTAATAACCAAAAGTTTTAACAAAGCAATAAAAAATTTGCTAATTCAACAAAATATTCCAAATGCCTTTTTAAAATTAATCGATTACTTTTAATTTTGCTGTGATCCTCAGGGAAAGTTTTCATAATCATCAGATAATCAGCACGTTTTTGCATAGAAAAACTTGAGTATTAAGCATACTTAATAACAATAAGCTTGATAGTAATCTGAAATTTCTATCACTTTTCAATGGCGATTGACCTGTACCAAGATTTTCATCTAGAGAAAAATTAAATAATAAATTTAGTTTTACACAGTATTTAAATTTTCACATCAAAAATGTTTTTAAAGTGCTTTACATGAATTATGTGTTTCTTATTTCTTGTGTTCACAAACACCATCATTTGCATTCTATAGAACAATCTTTTAAAAGTTAAGTTGATAAAAATAAAGTTTTATTATTATTTTACAATTATGTGTATTGTAAAGTAATTATTATTTGGAGTAAAATTAACTGGAACTTGTAAATTCACCTTAGTTTTCCGCAATTAACTAAAATCGATGACTATATGCATAAAATATACATACATACACACATAATTTTCAGTTTTTTTTAATTATTTAATATATGTATCAAGAATAAAATTTAATGGGTCAGACAGCGTTGCAGCGAATGCGTGCCATTGACGGGTCAAATGCTTTACTCAGAGTAAATAAATTCCAGAATGGATTAAACATGATTTAATTCGCAATAATAAAAGAAGACGTAATCTTTGTTGTTGCGAAGCTTAGTTTCTCTAGACTGGCAACTAATCCGCTATGTTGCCAGATTTAAAATGTAAACAAACATGTCCGCCATCGCAAAATTCATTAGGCTTAGCTGCACTAAATAACTTTTAAATTGTTGATAACTCCCCAGATATTGCATCCAGATTTACTAAAGGTATAAAAACCTTAACCGGAAGATAAGAACAACATAATTCAATCATTTTTAAAGCAAAAAATTCACAATTTAAAAACATATAAGAATAAAGAAACTGAGATCACTGAGCCGAGTAACAGAGTGGATATATATATATATATATATATATATACACAAGGTTTTATATTAATTTCCAGGACTCATGGAACAGCTCAGAAGAAAAAAGGGTAAACACAGCCATTTAATATGATTCAAAGTAATACCCATCAGCCGTAATGCACGTCTGTGCTCGGCTGTACAAATTTCGAAAAGAAGTTTTAAAGTCCTCTTTTAGAATGCTCTTTAATAGTGACGTTACAGTTTTCTTGATGGCTTTGACATCCTGAAATCTTGTTCCCTTCAGCGAATTTTTCAGCTTAGGAAACAGGAAAACGTCTGTGGGTGCTAGGTCTGGAGAGTATGGTGGATGCTGCATTTCAACAACACCATGCTGGACTAAGAATCGCCTCACAGGCAACGCAATGTGTGGGCGGGCATTGTCATGTAGCAGCAGCCAACTCCCATTTTGTTGGAAATGAGGCCTCACTCTACGAATTCGTTTTTGAAGTCGGTCAAGAACTTCTGTCTAGAACTGTCCATTGATAGTCATGTTAGGAGGAAGAAATTCATGATGAATGAGTCCATCGCAATCGAAGAAAGCGATTAACATGACCTTGATTTTAGACTTTTCAAATCGAAATTTTTTCTACCTTGGTGAACTTGGAGACCGCCATTAGGAGCTTTGACGCTTGGTTTCAGGGTCATATTGATAACACCAAGACTCGTCTCCTGTGACTTTCCTATCCAGGAACGCAGGGTCAGCATCAGCGTTGTCAATAAGTTCGCCACAAGCGGTCCAATCTCAATTGCTTTTGTTCGTCCCTTAAATGGTGAGGAACGAATCTGGAACAAATCTTGCGTTTGCGTAGGTCTTGCGTCAAAATTCGCCGAACCGTCTCTTTGTCCATGTTGAATTCATTGGCGAGTACTCGAATAGTCAATCGACGATCACATTTCACCATATAGCGAACTTTTTCAATTGCTTTCGGCCGTGCGTACGGACTGCGGCCGACCTGTGTGTGGATCATCTTCGACGTTTCTCTCCTGTCTCGAAAGTGTTTAAACCATTCAAAAGTTCTTCAGCGGGATAATGTTTCCTCGCCGTAAACTCGTTTTAACATTTCGTAGGTTTCCGCAGCTGTCTTGCCTAATATGAAGCAATATTTAATGCTAATTCTTTGCTCCATTTTCACTTCTACGATAGGAGTTTAAGAGCTACGTTTTAATGCGCCTTTCCACGAGAACCACTTACTTCAGAATGGCGCCGATTGCACTGCACATGCGCAAGAAAACGCTCTTCAACATGCAATCATTAGCGCCATCTTCCGACTTTTCGTTCTTCTACAGTTACTTTAAGCCTGGAAATTAATAGCCGGACCTTGTATACATATATTTATATACTTTTGCTGCCGCCGATCGCAACCAAAATACAAGGGGCACATCTACGTGTTATAACACTCCTACATACAAAATTTCAACGTTCTGAGGCTACTCGTTTTTGAGTTATGCGACATACGCACGTACGTAAGCACAGACGCCACGAAAAATTTTCTTTAGAATTCATTTTAAATCAGTTTTATAATTTTTGGGGAGAAAGGAGTCCTTTATTCTGTCCTTAATTGCGGAAGTCACGGAAAAACATCATTAAATTGCATTGGATAGCGGTCAAAATCGATATTTTCGTTGAAATATGATAGCCGAAATTTTTCGCGATTACAATACTTCCTCTTTACTTCGTACACAAGGAAGTAAAAAGAGTACAGTTATTGAGGGAAAATGCTAGAATTATTCGTAATATGAAAAATTTGGAATATTCTTTCCGCTATTTCAATCTGTATTGCAGTATATTTTATTTTTAAATACCTGGTTTTGTTATTGAGAAGAAGTTAATCCGTAAACTTTTACGGAAACATCTCTTATCCCTGACGGTAATGCGTTAATATTATCATCTCAAATAATTTTTGCTGAGGCGACCAGTGGCCCCGCGGTATAATCGCTGAACGCTGGTAGATCGATCTGGGGTTCGAATCATAGCAAACGGGCCGACTGCATGGGCGTTCTCGTGGTTCTTATGAATAACATGTATACGACACAGTTTCCGTTAAAATGTTCTCCGCGATGGCATCCATCCCTTTTATGGACAAATAACCACCGTGTGCTCTGTCATAATAAAATAAACCAAACCATAGTAAATTATATTATTATTTTAAAATTGATAAGTTTGGTTTATTTTTAATGAGAAAGCATGCTAGGGCTATCTGCCTAACAGAAGGGATGCTTTCTAAGTGAAATTGGCTTTTATCTACGTTAACTATTAGCTCTTATCTGCGTTCTAAGGAAAATTGGCTCCTCTCTACGTTCTGAGGGAAATTAGCTCTTATCCACGTTCAAAGGGAAATTGGCGTTTAGCAACGTTACTGCTCCGTCGCTGGTGCGCACTTGAAATTGATAAGATACGTAGGTGGTTGTAAATTTTTATCTTTGCAAAACATTTTAATAACATTTTTAGATCAGAACTTACTAACCTGACTTCTTTTTCTAGCCATGTTATATGCTGTGTTCTTCCATGATACTTTCATTTTAATCTTTATCTTGCCTAAAATTCGTAGTAATAAATACAATAATAATACTTCAGAGCACAGTGAAATAAAGATGACATCTCATTGTTACATTACAGGTTGTATACAAATAGCTAGTAAATGAAATAACTCCATCTCACCATTCGCTCTTTCGTTTTTACTTTCTTGCCGCATGCAATGATAATTTTTCAGTTATTGTAAATAATGCATCAATTCCATATAAGAGCATTTAGAAAAATTTTGCAATGAAAGCTTCTGCATAATTTGTTTCGGAACATTACCATTCCGCAACATACTTTAAAATGAATATTATACCCGTCAAAAAAATCTATTAAACATGGAATATCGGCTAATGAAAGCATTAATGAGAGTTTTCCAGACTCAACAAAAACAACACATAGGACATGAAACCATTCTGAGAAATCCTTTCTTCACAATATACACCATATCTTCATGAAACCTTTTCTGTACGGTATAGGAATTACTAGAAAAATGTTAAATATTTCTGACCAACTGGCAACTAGAAAATTTTCAAAACTAAAATTTAAAGACATGGACTGAAAAATAAGATGATAAAATTCATTTATTAATTTGATGAGCATTAAACATGATATTTTGGAGGAGACTTAAATCTCAGATAAAATTCCCATTTCACGTTTCCTAAATCTCGAAATGTTTCTCTCCACAGCATATTTTAATAATGGGAGGAATATAAACTTAATGACTTTAAGAAAAGATGATTTTCCCTTTTTTTTTTTTTTTTTTTTTTTTTTTTTTGAATAAGAGGAATAATTAGGTATTTACGTATTATCACAAACACTTTAGTAGAAGTCGCCAAACTTTTAGATTTTCCACACATACTCTAGTAACCGTAGATATACACATTCTTTAAGCAATCGTACTCATAACAGAACTTCAATCAAGCCACGTCGGCGTTTTCATATGCATTCTTTTTGTCGTATTCCAAGTTCCAACTGTTTTTATTGATAAATCGGAATATTTTTTGTCTGTAGTTCAATTTTAAAATATCGCTTGTGGAATTGGTCAGGAATGGAGTACACTGGGGTAAAACTTCTACAATATTTCTACTTAATACTGTAGAATATTCTACAGTATTATGCAGCAAAATCGCTGAAGCATAAAAAGGTAAGACGAATTTTGCAGATGGCCGGTCCGCAATGGCGTGTTTGGGAAATTCTCTGCTTTTTTTAAGTGAAAAAAATCACTGTGCACATGGGAAAAGAACAGCACTAAAAAAATTAAAACAATATCTTCGGAAAACTGTATTTATTTTTATGAGCTATTTAATCCCTATTTAACAATCAAAGTTTGTGCTTTAAAATATTTAAGTTGTTTGTCCTTTTGATATGCTGATAATGTTTTCCCTCAATAATGCCAGAACATGCTATGGTTTCAGTCAAAAAATTATAAGTTTCAACAAAATTTAAAAGATTTTCAAATTACTTGAATATCTTCAAACTTATTTCATTAAAATTATGAATTACTGTAGATGCCGTTTATTGTGATCGCGGTGGATGTTATCACCCGGATATTATTACCGAACTGACAAAGTCCTAACCCGTTTGTCTACGAAAGCATGGAAAATTCATCGCTTACTCTGATGAATAATTTTAATATTATCAAAGAATTATAAAGTATTTTTTACTAAAATACTTTATATTATTTTAGTAAAGTCGCTAACTAAGGTCGAGATAGATTATAAAAACTGTCAAGTGTCAAACAAATATCGCTAAGTAAAGGATTAAGTTGCCAAACACCTTGTTTTCGATTTTAGTCAACCATTTAAAATTAATCGAAAAAGCACCCTTAGTTTGGCTTAGAATGTGAATAGCTCTATAGATTTTGAGGTGGGCTAAACATAGGTCTCTCTTTTTCAGAAGCAAAAATCATTTCTGATCGACTTTTCCTTTTACTCCTGAAGGGATTAAAAATATCCCTTGAAAATATTTACCCAAAATAAGCTTGCTTTTTGCCTAATTTTAAATTTTACATTTGCATATCCTCTTCCAATAGATTAAATATGCCCTCCGAGTATTAATATTAGGTCAAATAATTTCCATAAATGATATGGAGTTCAGAAATAATCTTTTGCGTTAAAAGCATAAAGTTTTGTATTTTCTTAATTATAATTCTGTGAAAGTACTAATTTATATGCTTCTTTTTGCATTTATGTGTTTAAACTCTATTGTTGTTTTAAAGGACCTTTTTATTCTGATTTAATATCAGCGTTTGGTTAACGTTATCAAATTAGTCGTGGACAAACGTGATCACATCAAGCGCGCCTACTGTAAATTAAAGCGAATAATACATAAATTAAATTCTTTATGCGGAAACTGCTTCAGTATGCATCGAGAATTGCTTACGCGAATGTTTTGTGACTAGAGCATCTTGAAATCTTTTACTTTTTAATGATAAGATAAAGAACTTTAACAGTTATGGAATTAAAGAGGTATATGAGTCATTGATACCTTTCATTAAATTTTCGCTTTCCTGAAAAATACTCTCATCGCCTTGGAAAGTTTAGCTGTTGTAAACTATTATTTTGTCCGATGTGTTGGGTGACCCTTTATCTCGAAATATTCCGTTCCAGCGTTCTTATCTACCTCACTTACATAGGCCTCTTCTTATCTATTTCTTTAAGTTGAAATGGCCTCTTCTTATCCATTTTGGAGCTAGCAAAAGAATGTCTTTAATGTTATTGTTTAAAACTGAGCACTGTTAAACTCTTCCTAAATGTGCAATGCAATATGGCAATAGAACTTCAATTATCCAAACTGAATGGAACTAAAAGAGGTCGGATAACAAATAATCGATTATTTTTCATAGTTTTAAAGAAAAGTATCTCAAGTAAGCTATTGATTCTCGAACCAATGTTTTTACTAAATGATATCTTTAATAACCTCAAATATATTTTCAAGAATAATTTTGTTTCGATATTGAGTTACAAGTTTTACTAAAATAAAAAAAAATTCCGGAAAAGTTTTACGTTTTTTAAAGTGTGCGCTTTAAATAAACACTTTTCTTTTCAACAGTATTTCGAAGTCATTTGTATCTTCTAGCCGTCTGCTCCCGGTTCCAAGCTCTTCTTGTGTCTCAGTCCAGGTAATTATAATTTGAACAGCATAATTTTCTTTCCTTAGCGGTATAAATTTTGAATACTTTTCATGTCATCATCTCTTTCGTTTTCTTCCTCGTCAGTTTACATTTAAATTTCATTCTGAAGCTACAGCTATTATAACTCCCTTGCTTAACTGGAAACCTAGGTGAGATGCATATAGTGTAGCCCATAGTTAAAATTTTCTTTTTAGGATCAATATTATTATTATTACAAGTTGAAATGGTAAATCAATGGCTTAGCGAGCAATTACAAGTATATGAATTACATTTTTGCAATAGTAAAAGTAATAATACAAGACCAAGTGTAACAATGAAGGGGTAGTAATGCAATATTTTGAGCTGAGATTGCAAGTGAAAGAAAACTATACAAGCTGATATTATACAGTTAGTTATTACATCATTTGTGCTTTCAGTAAAGGAATTCATGAATCTCTACATTTTGGGTACAGTGTGCGAAAATTTCCTGCGCACATAACTTCGTGAATAGTCAACCAGGCAGACAAGAATCTAACTATGCTCTCCCCTGCCACTACCTTGTGAAACCATATCACCTATCTAACTATACCACTACCCTTTCAATAACCAAATCAAATACTGTATACTACTGATGAATGAGTGACTCAGGGAATTCAGCCAAATTTCACTTTATCGGTTCCACGTATGCTTCCACTGGTTCCGGAAACTGTAAAGTACTCAGATTTGATTTATATGTAACAATTTTTAAACTTAGTTGCAACCATTATTTTAATCAAAATTCAATTTTCATGTAGAGATATTCTATGTAAGATTCAAATGAGCGACATATAAAATGTGGTACAATTCAGATTCAAATATGCTTCATCTTAAACTGCATGGCAAGTTTTTTTATCAGTTGCTATTAGCGTGATATAATTATACTAACTAATACAAAGACCTGCTGGGATGTTACTGCTAAAACTATATTCTGCAAGAGAGTTTAAGCTTAATAGGAACTCTTTAATAGGAACTACTTATTAATCTAATTTCTAAACCAGTGCAAAGGCGTTATTAAATGATACGATGAGAGCTTAAAATTATCTTCACACTGTTTAAAATGCTACGTCAATATTATCAGAATCACATATTGTGCTTTACTAATTGGAAAAGGAAGGCACGTAATGTACATTTACATAATGAAATGCATATTTACTATCCTTTGTTCTATTTGCCGATTATTTTATGATATCACGTAATTGTCTTAAATGATTTTAATTGTACTGAAGTTACCTAGTGTTACTTTTTTATTATTTCCCTTTGTCCTAAATCGTAAACAAAATACATGTTTTAGAGAACATTAGGATAAGTTTTTAATAAAACTGCACAAGCTGATTTGGTCGGAGATAGCATCTCCGTTGATTTAATACAATCAATATTAATGATAAATCAGTGTCTTTGCATTTTGGAATGCAAAGTTAAGTCCCCTCATCTCACGTTCATTTTCGTATTTCTTTTAGCAATGATATACGAAAGTAAGTAGTTTAGCCATATAGTCCTCAGATTAGGAACCATTTCTGATACTTTTTAATTGCGCAGTTGTTTTTCGGCAATTATGTTATCCTTCCTCCATTGTTATGTAAAGAAGAAAGTGTACATAATTTTAAAAATTTACAACAGTGGTTTTCGAAAATAAAAAGGATTTTAAAGGGTACTTTTTACGCACTCCTTCATTTATTTAGATTATAAAGCTATTAACGAAAGAATTTCATTTCATATTCTTTTATTTGCTATTGTAATCACCTGTATCCCTGCCTTCCCAGTGATTAGACCATTACCATTACGATAATCTTATTTGTGTGTCCGTTATCAGTCCGTCTTTAAGTAGATCATCTTGAAAATAGAGCCAGAGGCACTTGAAATGGAAAGGATGAAGTTAAAAGCTGTCTAAGAGGCGAAAATCAGTAGTGAAATTGTAATTAAATGGCAGAAATCATTGCAGAATTACGAAAACATAGTGTAAAAGAGATTTAGAAGAATCTTAAATAGCGATAATAAATATTGCATTTTTATAAAAAAATGTACAGAACAATAAAGAATCTTGTATAAATAGGTGTACATAATCTTGATTAAATATTTAAGTAAAAAAATCAGAGAAAGGGAAAAAAACAAAACTAGGAATAAAACGGATTCGAACATCTCATCTTACCGATGTGGAGATGCTTCAACTGTTGCGTTACAGAAGGGCACGGAGAACTTGAAAATTAGGTTATCTATTTAGATTCCGAGATGATTTGCGAAGCACAGTGCAAGATCTTTTGTACCACTGCAAAACTGTATAGTCGTATTGGGAAATAGACTAAAAGTACTTGTCAGAAAGATAAATGAATCATATAAGTATCGTACTTTGAGGTAAGGCGGAGTAAATCTGCTTTCTTTTAACTTAAAAATTATTTTAAAAAATGATAAAATGTTTTAATTCATTTTTAAATACGAAATTTTGCATATAAGACAGAGGTTTCCAGAACAATAAAGATAAAAATGTAACCTCATATACGAGCCAATATGGTCAGTTCCAGATATTAAAATGCAGTTTTCTTTCATTGTACTTACTTTATCACGTCAGATAGATTTAGCGCACAAAGACAGAGTTGGAACAAGCGTGTAAATCGACCTCTGGATTCTCTAAAAATAACTAATTTCGATGTTAAAAGATGAGAGAGAAAAAAAGTGCAATTTTTGTTTTCACCATAACTGCTTCAGGGGGCCGAGATCAACTTCTGGCATGATGAGAAGAACTTTGAGAAATCATCGCTAATCATTACTCTTAGCATTGGCATTTTTTTCTTTCTTATTTGATACCATTCTTCCAAAATTCCGATTTGTTGTTTTAACTGTTTTTGTGGAATGAGTAAGGTCATTTTCCCGCTTCTTTATTTCTTTCTGTTAGAATGTCTATTGATGCAGATAAACAATAATAACGCAATTTCTTTTTACAATCATGTCCTTGTTTGCAGTCATTTTTACAGTTTATGTTGACAGTCCTGTATCCCTGATTCAGAATCATCGGTTTCAGTAATCACAGCTTACCGCAATCGAAGTTAAAAAGATTTAGGCGGTTTGTACTCTCTCATATGCTTTGTTAAGTTAATCTTTCCTATGCTATATCAGCCGTCGTGGGCTCCGCTATATTCAAATAGCCATAATAGTTATACTGCACTGTGTAGAGCTTCTATTATCACATGTTGTTTGCCTTTATAGCACAGCTATTTCCCTTAAGGTATGAATGTCCATTTGAGGGCGATTTTGTAATAGGAAACTCATTCGTATTCATGTTACAAATAGGCTAACCACAAAATATTCTCCTGCAGTCAGCCCGTTCGCCAGGATTCGAAGCTAGGTGTAATTCTAGTATTCAATTACGTATTAACTGTATTACTGTATTTCCGTACTCAAACTCCAAAAATTTAAATCTATAAACATCGTATAGAAATTTGAGCAATATAATAGACCAGTGATCTCAAACTGGCGCAGTTTTACTCTGCCCTCGAATATATTTCCCGTAAATTAGTTAACATTATTATGCTATTATTTATTATGGCAGGAATTTGAAGAAAGGTTTAAGATATTAATGATTTTGAATCCAGTTTTACATTTTTTTTTTCACGACCATTAAAAACGAAGGAGACTTACGAGCCACAAAATCTACAGATGGATCTTAATTTATTTACATTGGGATAAAAATCTTATTCAAAGATTTGAAGACACAGATTTTATTAACCTTATTTTGTACTTATCAACAGATAAATAACCACAGTAACGAATTTTTGCTATACGTCTAATCTCTTTTTGGGGATCACGTTCATATCTGAAACAGTGTTGCCAGATCGTGCGATTTTTCGCAAATTTGCGACTTTCGACAAACTTGTGCTACTAAAATTTTAGTATTTGCGATTTGCGAAATTTTTGCGACAGTCATCATTTCCTTATGCTACTTTTTGCGACTTCAAAGACTTTTTTTAATATATCGTAAAATGCTTACATGTTAAAATAATGTATCAATTAAAAATAATTTACATTAGAAAAAACAGTTTATTTAGGCTTAAAAAGAAGTTGGCATCTGGCAATCCAATTTACATGTGGGCTTTCCTTTGAGGCTGCACAGCCCATAGAGCAGGTCTATGGCACAGCCTGACCCCGGTATAATGAGAAAGGGGAAAGGGGGGAAAGAATGGGAAAGAAAGGAAAAAAACTGCTTTGGGACCTCTCATCATCTTCCCTCCCCTCCCGTATGTTTTGTCTTTAAGTCAATTCAGTTTAAGTTTTAAGTCAGTTTTCTGACTGGTCAGAAAGTGTGGTGATAAGGAATCAAGCAAAAGAACTTGCAGCTTGGGTACTCAAACAGAGAAAGAAATGTAACATATATTGGGTACCCAAACAGAGAAAGAAATGAAACATATTGTGTACCCAAACAGAGGAAGAAAGGAAATCTTCAAAATCAAAGCAGCGGCATTTTTCTAAATAACAACCCAAGTAAGTTTAACAATGAAAGAACAAGCCTTCTTAAGTAATCAGAACCTGAAATAAGCCCACCAGGCAGAACGGAAAACTCACTAAAAACCATTCCTCAATTAAAATGTTCACAATTAAGCAAAAAAAAAAAATAAATAAATAAATAAATAAATAAAAAAGCGGATATGCACAAATTAATTTAAAAATAGAACCTAAATTAAATGAGAATTAATTTTAAAAAATGGATATTTGAACAATTGAAATGAGCAATACAGTTTTAAAATTTCCGTTAAAGCTAAGCTACGTAATTAAAACGACTAAGAATCGAATGCAGTCTACGACTTTTTGAGTCTGCTTTTGCTACTTTAGCTGAAACTTTTCTGGCAACACTGATCTGAAAAGTATTTTTCGCACTTGAAAAATTAGTAGGTCAAGAAAAAAAAATGAAACCAGTTTGATCGATGAACATGTATACCTCTTGATAAATACAGTTACTAATAATTATTAGTACAGTTACTACT